TAAAGCTACACAACAACAAACAATTTATTGAATGATATTTTATTTATATAAAAAGTTAAAAATGCAAATATCTCGAATATGTTTCCCAAAATTGCGATAAAGAAAAGAAAGTGTTTAATTATCTAATTAATAAATAGATGTAAACTTTTAGTAAACTATATGTCTGTTTCATTTGATGTTATAAATTCAAATATTATCTTTTATTAATCATGAAATTTGCAAAGTTTTATCAATCATGTAATTAACATTTTTATTATCTCTACATTCTATCAAATAGAACAGTGAACTAAAAAAAACATTCCCTTTATGTGTCTTCAATATGAACGAAAAGAAAATTTAAAGGAAAATAATATAAATAATATATTAATATATTAATATTATTGACATAAATAAATAATTATGATTGAGTTTTATGGAATACTATATAAATATTATATTAGCTTTTCAATTTACAAATTATTTCTTGTAATAGAGAATACGTAGTAGTTCACGTAGTTTTTAAATTTTCTTTAAAGCCACTTATTCATGTATATTATTGGAAGAATAATTTTTAGCCATTGCTTTTTTTCTATTTTAAAAATATTGAATGATTTTAATACAAACTTGATAATCACTAAAAAAAATAATTTTGTTCGCGTAATATAAAAATATTATAATCTTACCTTAATAAAAATTAGGAAATAGTTTTGTAGATACCGGTATATTCTAGCAATGTTATTTCGTCTTTGTCTTCATATTTTTTACGAAACTTTATTGTCCAAATTTGGATTTTATAACGATTTTGGACTTTTCTTCTAATACAAATTTTCAATTCATGTGGTAACCTTTTTTGTATTCACTTTTTTAATGGGATTCAATGCAAGAGAGACGTATTTATCGATGAAGCGTTACTGCCGCTACACGTGAATAACGTTTATACTCTATTGAAAGAACATCAAGAACTGCGCATAGCCGGACAAAGGAGAGTGGCGCGCTACGCGCAATCAGTAACGTATATGTAAATACGACATGTTTGGATCGTCGCGTAAAAATTTTTACTCGTATGAACTACAATTATTCGACTTATAATATATTAAAATTGGAACAGAAACATTGCTTAATATCTCTCACCATAATTTCATAAAAGTTCTCGCACGGAAAAAAAACTACAAGAATACGAAAAAATTACTCATATAATAATAGTTCTTCGCAATAATATATTATTGGTATACCAGTAATTTTTTCGTATTCTTGTAGTTTTTTCATAAGGGTTGGATTATTTAAAACTCGGGATTTATCTTCAAAAACTAAAAATTAGAGAGGAATATTTTATAATTTCTTGCTACAATATTGCGAGAGAAATGTAAATTCAATTCAAATTTATGAAGATATATATTCGTAAGTGTGATAAAGAATAATATAGAAACATGTACTGTCCCTGAAACTGCTTTATGAATATTATTGAAATAATTCCTTAAAAAAGTTATATTATAAAAATTAAATTCAATTGAATTCTTTTTGTCACATTTGACAGTTCATAAAAATACTGGAAAGAGAATGATGTTAATAACTGAATGTCTCAAAGAATAGAAACAGATATAAAATTTTTGTTAGAATATCTTAAAATGAGAAACAGTCTTTAAAAGTGCCACATCTCAATTTATCGATTGATTCCAGGACTGTTATTAAACTAATTTTTAATGGTGCAAAAGGTTCGGGAAAGTAATAATTTTAATGTCATAAGAAGAATATATTCATATATATCAATATATATAACAATATATATAACAACTTTAAGTCATGGTAAGTATGGTATATATATAAAAACTTGCCAAACGATAGTATTATACATTTTTCAGCTTGTCGTAGTAACCACAACTTAAGTTACTAAAAATTTATTAAAGTCATTATATTTATTGTTACATATACATAAACAATTTTTCTTATAATGACTTAATATTTATCCAATCATTACTTTTTCGAATTTTCTGCACTATTAAAAATTAATATAATAGTCCTGGAATCAACCGATGAATTGTGATATGTAGCAGTTTTTCATGATGCGGCAGATTCAAAGACAATACACGTTTTTATATGTCGCATTCAACAATCGTAAAGATAGTCGAAAGGGAATGAATTTTGATAGCTGAAAGTTCCGAAAAATACAAACTAATATACAATTTTCGTTAGAATATCCTTGAATGACAAGTAATTTTCGAAAAGGTTACATCGCATTGGTTGATTAAAAGACTGTCGTTATACCAATGTTTAATAGTGTAAAAAATTCGAAAAAATAATGATGTGAGAAATATTAATATCATTCTTCTTATAATAACATTGAAATCATTACTTTTCCGAACGTTTTGCACCATTAAAAATTAATATAATAAGAGTCTTGCAATCAACCGATGAATTGCGATGTGGCAGTTTCCAAGACTGTTTCTCCTTTTAGGATATGCTAACAAAAATAGTATATCTATTTGTATTTACTGGGACATTCAGTTATCAACATCATTCTTCTTTCTTTCGAATATCTTTATGAATTGTCAAATGCGACAAAAGGATTAATAGATGGTGATTCAATTGAATCCAATTCTTATAATATAACTACGTTTTTCTCATGAATTGTTTAAATAATATTCATAATGCGCCAGATTCAGGGACAGTACACGTTTCTTTGTGTCGTATTCGATAATTCGTAAAGCTACTCAAAAGGAAATGATTTGATAGTTAAAAGTCCCGGAAAATATAAACTGATATATACAATTTTGGTTAAAATATTCTGGAATGGAAAATAGTCTTAGAAACTGTTACATCGCAATGTCGGTTGATTCAAAGATTGCTATTATACCAATGTTTAATAATGCAAAAAATTCGAAAAAGTAATGATGTGAAGAATATTAATATCATTCTTCTTATAATAACATTGAAATCATTACTTTTCCGAACGTTTTGCACCATTAAAAATTAATATAATAAGAGTCTTGGAATCAACCGATGAATTGCGATGTGGCAGTTTCCAAGACTGTTTCTCATTTTAGGATATGCTAACAAAAATAGTATATCTATTTGTATTTACTGGGACATTCAGCTATCAAAATCATTCTTCTTTCTTTCGAATATCTTTATGAATTGTCAAATGCGACAAAAGGATTAATAGATGGTGATTCAATTGAATCCAATTCTTATAATATAACTTCGTTTTTCTCATGAATTGTTTAAATAATATTCATAATGCGCCAGATTCAGGGACAGTACACGTTTCTTTGTGTCGTATTCGATAATTCGTAAAGATACTCAAAAGGAAATGATTTGATAGTTGAAAGTCCCGGAAAATACAAACTGATATATACAATTTTGGTTAAAATATACTAGAATGGATAATAGTCTTCGAAACTGTTACGTCGCAATTCATCGGTTGATTCAAAGATTGCTATTATACCAATGTTTAATAATGCAAAAAATTCGAAAAAGTAATGATGTGAAGAATATTAATATCATTCTTCTTACACTAACATTGAAATAATTACTTTTCCGAACGTTTTGCACCATTAAAAATAAATATAATAACAGTCTTGGAATCAACCGATGAATTGCGAGGTGGCAGTTTCCAAGACTGTTTCTCATTTTAGGATATGCTAACAAAAATAGTATATCTATTTGTATTTACTGGGACATTCAGCTATCAACATCATTCTCTTTCAAATATCTTTATGAATTGTCAAATGCGACAAAAGGATTAATAGATGGTGATTAAATTGACAATGAGTTCAATTCTTATAATACAGCTTTACGTTTTCTTAGGAATTTTTTAAATAATATTCATAATGCGGCAGATTCAGGGACAGTACACGTTTCTTTGTGTCGTATTCGATAATTCGTAAAGATACTCAAAAGGAAATGATTTGATAGTTGAAAGTCCCGGAAAATACAAACTGATATATACAATTTTGTTTAAAATATGCTAGAATGGATAATAGTCTTCGAAACTGTTACGTCGCAATTTATCGGTTGATTCAAAGATTGCTATTATACCAATGTTTAATGATGCAAAAAATTCGAAAAAGTAATGATGTGAAGAATATTAATATCATTCTTCTTATAGTAACATTGAAATAATTACTTTTCCGAACGTTTTGCATCATTAAAAATTAATATAATAACAGTCTTGGAATCAACCGACGAATTGCGATGTGGCAGTTTCTATTTGCTATTTCAGATCATTTGCTAGTTTAGATTTGCTATTTAAGATATTCTAACAAAAATTGTATATCAATTTTTATTTTCTAGAACATTCAGCTATCAAAATTATTCCTAAGTTTCTATCTGTTCATGCCTTATATATAAGTACTGTTAAATGATAGTACTATAACTTTCTTTGTCAGTCCTGATAAACATCAAGTCTTGGAAATTGCCAATACTTGATTGTCTCAGATACTGCCGAAATAGCAAAAAAATTTTTCCGGGCCCGTCCTGGTAAACATCAAGTCTTGGAAATTGCCAATACTTGGTTGTCTCAGAAACTGCCGAAATAGCAAAAAAATTTTTCCGGGCCCGTCCTGGTAAACATCAAGTCTTGGAAATTGCCAATACTTGGTTGTCTCAGAAACTGCCAAAAAAATTTCCAGGCCTGCTCTGGTAAATATACAAGTCCTGGAAGTTGCCATAGGCCGACGGTCTCGGAACAAGCCAAAATAAAGATTACCAAACAAATAAATATATCTTCGGAAATGAAATATATACATAGGTTTAAGAAGGTGTTTAGAGCCCTCATGTGGTAAGAAAAAGGAGTGTCCTGGAATATGCCGCCTGACATATATATATATATAAATGTGTGTGTGTATATATATGTGTGTGTATATATATGTATTGCAAAAATTAATGCAAATATTATATAATGCAAAAATAATTATTTTATAAATGAAAAAACTAAATAAACAATATTGTAAAGACAAAAACAAATATCACATCAGGTTTTTAAGTCTTTAAAAAATAAATAATATTGATGTATATACGTTTATTAGTTTTGCGTCGCATTTTTCGCTTTTTCGCGGATTAATCATAAACTTGCTTGTTTAAACCAGGTTTTTAAGATATCTTCAAATTCTGCTTCCGTAGTAGTAGGACAGGTTTTCTGAATGGCAGCTGAAATATATAATATGAGATTTTAAACTTTACTTTCATATAATTTACTTAAAGAATTAAATAATATAAATTTGAAAAATAAAAGATATAACAAATGTATTAGATGTGTCTTTATAAGATGGTATTAACGATAAGAAATTAAGATATTATTAAAAACGCGTTGTTTTTTTTAGACATTTCAAGATGTTTATAGACCTTTCTGAATAAAGTTATATATGTATGTATGTACATATGTCTTTGTATATATGTATATATAATATGTATACATATATAAGTATATATGTATATATATATTTATTATATATATTATATATATTATATATATTGTTATATACTTACTTTTCATACAAGTAATAATTTTTAAGTCTTTTAACTTAAAATTGTCTTTAACTCCGGTCCAAGAGCATTGGGAAGCAAGATTATTTGAATATAATTTTTACAACGCTCTTTTTAGTGCATCTTTTGTTGTACCACCACCAATCATGACTAGCATACTGATCTGCAACAACATTTTTTATAAATTATGTATATTTTTTTCTATTTATACAGTAAAAAATATCTGAAATGTTTATATTATTTTACATATAAATTAATATAAATTTTATATATGCAATAAATTCTTTTTTATTTAAAATAAAAATTAATTGATAAGCTCGACAGTTAAAAGTATAAGATTTCATTTTTATTAGGCCTTTATTCGCGCGAGCAACGAAGTTAGAATAAATGAAAATAAAAAAGACAAAATATAAAATGTAACATTTATTGGATGCGGAACGTTTCGTACAATACTTATTTTATGGCACATTGGATGGATAGAATAAAAGGAAAGTGTCAGATATGGTTGACGAAATTATTACCATTTTTAATTATCGACTGGTGACTTCTTAGTTCTTTATATATATAATAAAAGGAAAGTGTTCTTCCTGAGAATGTCTTCTTTCGAAACCAATCAATAAGTATCATATTCTCCTTGATTATGATTGATATATCTAGGAAATTTATACACCGGTTCTCCTCTCGTTCCGTTGTAAATTTCAACCTATCATGATATTCGTTAAAATTATTAAAAATGCATGTGACTTGATCTTCCGGAACATACATTAAAATATCTACGTATCGGTAATAGAAAGTCGCATTTATGTTAAGCGTGTTGAATATTGTCTCTAAATCTTGCATGACATCTGCACTCATCGGAGACAGAGGAGAGCCCATGGGGGTTCCATAAATTTGTTTATATGTTATACTATTAAATGTAAAAAATGTTGAGGATAGAATAAATTTTATAATTTTTATAAACTTATTTTTTCCAATTTTTGTATGGCCTTCTATGTATTGCCATCTGTTATTTATACTGTCAATTGCAAGATTTAGAGGTACATTGGTAAATAATGATATTAGTATTTCGTTGTTATTGAGTTGAAAATCAGTCAGTGCATTGCATAATTCGTAGCTGTTGTTAACATAACTTTGTGCTTTTGGCAGACTAACTAATAAAATATTATGTAAGTAAGATGATATTTGATAAAGGGCTGTGTTAATTGATGACACTATTATTCTGAAGGGTGTATTCACTTTATTTTACTTGGACACGGCCAAGATATAAAATTGGAATAATCTCTACAAGAGATTTAATTTCATACATCCCCTGTTCCCCCCCTAAGGAAATAGATGTGAGAAAAATATAGATCCGAAAGTCGCTGAATTCGCTGTTTCGGGTGGGAACAGGGGATGTATGGAATTAAATCTCTTGTAGAGATTATTCCAATTTTATATCTTGGCCGTGTCCAAGTAAAATTTGGTGCCTTGTGCACAGGTATTTAAATTCTAACGAAAAAATTTAATTTCGTTTAGGATAACGCACGGTCATCCGCGATTTGGCTCTTATTGCCTGTTTTATATGTTAAATTTATATTGATACTACAGAGCCTTGTTTAAAATCTCTTAATTAATATATAGATTAGCGGTATGAACAAAAAAAATATAATAGCAATATCTCGGCGACTATAACGGAAGGACAGAATTAATCTATTAACTTTTCATCAATGATAACAATTTTCAAATACTTTAAATAATTTTTCGACAATATTATACGAACGGAAGTTATACGGAACAAAAGAAAAAGATCGGTAACTGATATGCTGTTCAAACTTATTATCGCGGACACGCGGTACATACAGTTTGTATGAATATTTTTTATTTTTAATTAATTAATTAGATTTTTCAACACTTGTGATCTAATTTTGTTACGAAGTATCTCTTAACTTCATTATTTCTTTAGAAGTAATTTTTTTCATTATTATTTTAAAAGAGATGCAATATTTATCAATTTCTTGTATCATTAATTTAGTATTTGAGTTTAATTTTAGTATTTTTAGTAATTCTTAGTAATTCTTTATTTTATAATATATTTGTTATAAATATTTACGTATGAAAATTAATTTAATATTTATAACGTTTTTTATACTAAGAAATACATGTGCAATAAAAAATTTAAAGTTTATAATTCTTTCAAATCTTATTACAAATTCTACTCCTAATACACAAAAATTCATATTACTTTATATGAGTTTGCATTCGTTTTATTTCCATTGGAAGCTGTTGGGAAAATAAAATTTATAATATATATGTTATGTGTGTATATAGGAATAAAACAAACACAAGCTGTGTGCTTCTATACGTACTCTATACGTATAGAGTATAGAAACACATATAGCTTGTGATCGTTTATTCCCATATACATAACATATATTATAAATTTTATTTTCCCAATAGCTCCTAATGAGAAGAAAAACGAATACAGGCAGAATGTCCTATGAATATTTCGTAAATATTTCTAAAATCTGTTTTGCATATTACAAGAATATTTTGTGAATGTATTCCGTATATTACAAGAATATTGCAAAGAATATTTTGTAAATGTATTCCGCATATTATAAGTAGTCTCATTTTATTATTCTCCGCACATTTATATAATGTTCTTTTCATTATATCAGTACATTCTCAGAATATTCTAATATTCTCGAAAAATATTTATAGAATCTTTATAGAATATGTTTGTGCTATCTGGGGTGAATCTTGGTCCTTTGGTCGCACTCTGGGAGATCAGGAGGCACCCTCTCTGTAGTGTGGCAACACCGAACAGTGGAGAGCCGGGCCTCGCGCGTCTTGGTACCTTACGTGCCGCGCCGATCTCTCGCGCATTCCCTCGATGATAGGGTCGATGGCGGCGGCCCTAAAGTCTCCCTCGACTCCCTTCCTAGCGGGGTAATTCTCTCGCCGGTATCTTCATGCTGCTCGAGAGGATTTTTCTTAGAACATATATTACTGGAAATTCTTTTTTATTTAAAATAAAAATTAATTGATAAGCTCGACAGTTAAAAGTATAAGATTTAATTTTTATTAGGCCTTTATTCGAGCAACGAAGTTAGAATAAATGAAAATAAAAAAAATAAAATATAAAATGTAACATTTATTGGATGCGGAACGTTTCGTACTTTTACTTAAGACTCTTCAGCCGCAATATACAGACGCAATAGTTTGTCCAAGTTAGAATAAATAAATTTTACAAATTGTCAAAAGATAAAAACTATTCAGTATGTATACGTGTCAAGTTTAATTAATATTTCTAATACATAAATATAATTAAATATACATACCATATTTGGCAATAATAGTAACTGGATAAAGGGCCCAATCATCTCGTGGTGTTTTTCGCTTTATAATACAATTACGTACATTTTTTTTTTGCCAATAAGTGTATTTATTATCTTTCAACCAAATGGTTGGAATTACCGAATTAATTCTTTTTTCATTGAGGACTATGACCGGGATCGATGAATGGGGATTTGATTAAGAATCTTGATTTTCCTGGGAGGAAGAAGGATTCTGTGATGATTCATGTGAATTGGAAGGAGAGGGAAGTTGTTCCCTAGATGTAGGGACAGGACGAGAGGGTACCCTTTGGGGCCAAATGTCATTGTATCGTATATTTGGATTTAAAAAGTTATGGTTGTTGTTCGGGTCAATGACATAATCATTGTTCCGGATCCTATATCGTACACCCGGTACACTTAACGCTGCGGGAGCTCCCGCAGAACGAGCCGGCATGTTTCTTGATTCCTGCATATTTTGTGAGTGATTTGTAGGCATGCTCGAGTTGTCCACTGAAAAAAGATGAATAATTATAAAACCAATGTAGAGAACAAGTTTTTGTTATGAAATATTTCTTGAATTTGTTTCTATTTTGATTATTTCCCATGTAGCACCAAAAGATTTCAGAAACATTGCATACAGACTTTAACATTAGAAGATTGCAACATTACATGGAAGTTATGAAATGTTACTGCAACATTACTTCAAGCTTGCAACAATATTGAAATCCGCCCTTGGAAATATTGTAATGTGATGTACGATGCTATGTTTTTGAAATATTAAAACGCATTGCTTTAAATATGTAAACTACTTCAAATTTAATATAGATGAACTATTGTGTTTGAGAATATACAAAGATATATTTATCTGTTTTTGAAGCGTTCTACATATGTTAGAAAATTATTATAAAGTTTTTCATTTTGTAAAAACTAACAGACTTTTATTTTATAACATTTATAAGTTTTTATGACAAAACAACTTAATTCAATATAATTAAGTAAATAAAAATTATATAATAAAATTCAAATAATTTACTTTATAAAATAAAAAAAATTTATTTTTAAAATAAGTATATAAAGTACAATGAACATTCATTCGAGTTCATCGAATATTTATCTGTCCGATTTCTGAGAAATCAGTTCAGTGTGTACTTTAATATCTGAATTTCCTGTGTTAGGATCGAATAAAAAAAATTAAACTGATAATAGTATCTTATGTGACAAGTGCGGAAAATAACGAATTACATCGCGCATGAAGTTGCCGCATGAGCCGAAGGCTTATGATGCATTCACACGAGTACTCGTGCTATACATAAGCTAAGGCGAATGCGGCAACTTTACGTGCGATGTATTCGTTGTTCTCCGTACATGTCACATACAATATTTTTTGTAATGCCTATCGCGAAAGTTCGATTTGAGATGTTTTACTCATGTACTTATCTCTTGATTTTTTTGGTAATAAAGTCTTCGTGACAGATTTAGCTGCTTCTATAAATTTTAACGGCGTGGACGGTCTTGAATACTCGTTTCTTTTATCTATTTAATCCTTTTTGAATAGTGAAGGTTATAACAAATTGACGTTTTGTCTCGCGTGAATTTCGTTACGTTCAAGTTTGTTATGTCAATCGAGAAGAAAGATGATTTTTTTCCGCACTAGTGCGGTAAAGTGTAACCATATTTTCCGCACACTAAACAACAATCGAAAATCGAACTTTCGCAACAGGCGTTGCAAAAAGATATAAGTATGATACTTTCAGTCTTATTGTTAGTGTTAATTTCACCAACCTTTATGTAATTCTACATAAAATTTAAATGCGAGATAGATAAAGCATCAATGGTCGCATAGCAGTAGATGAAGAAACTAAATAATGCTTTTTATAATCTTTATGGAATGTTGTTGTAACATTCTCATGAAATATTATATTTGTACCCAGTAAGCAAGAAATATTTAATCAACATTTTATAATGTTGATTTTATATAAATTTTCTAAATGGTATAATGTTTTATAAATATTATTTATTTTTATTAATATATGACCAAACTGACTATGGCTACATAAAAGTAAATCACGATGTTTCAATCATTGATTTCGGTCCTTTTCAAGTGAGCTACAAGTACAGACAAAAGATTTTTTTGTTAAAAAAGTCCAATTATAAAAGTATATCCAATTACAATACCTTATAATAAATTAAATATTATAATATCTTATAATAAATTAAATAGATCAC